AAGGTCCCGCTACAATGATCGGGTTTCGAAATTTCGGAGCGATCGCAGCGGGGGACCGCTTGCCGGAGATGATGAGCTGCAGAACTCCAACTTTTTCACGTTGGTAACCAACATCATGTCGGACTATCGCAGGTGGTGTGGCTTCATCAAAACCGATAGGCCATACTACTATGAAGACCCAATCCCGTTGGAAAATGTCAAGGATCAGATGCGCACAGGTCCCAACAATCCTGATCTCGATGTGCTGATTCAATCGTACATCACCAGAAAGCCATTTGGCAATGCACCATGGAACCAAATGAGCCCAATGATCATGGAAGACTATGAGGACTACCGGCGCTTCAACACTCGATCCTTTGACCCTCACAACGAAGGACTGGGAAAGACCCTATGGGCCGTTGTCGAGCAACGCATCATGCCTGAACGCCAGCGCAAAGAATGCAAACATTTGTACACGTTTGGCATGATGGGATGTATCAACTGCGGAGCCTACCTCCACTTGTCGTCTGACCTCGGAAAAGCGGCGCAGGTGATTCGTATTGAAGAGATCGCAACAAATCTCGGAATTGATGTCTCACTCGACATGGTGCCTGATGACGAGCTCAGAGGTTCCGGAGAAAGGCTTACGCCGGCAGGAACGCCTGGCCACGAGGTAGCTCGTGCTTCCAGATCGGGACTCACCATCCTGAAGAACAATGCCAGGAGTCACGTCAAGAAGGCAGAGCGAATGTCAGTCACTGTGATGAAGCGGCAACTCACTGACCCATTCTATGCGTTCAATTGCCCGGCACAAGATCTTACACCTTTGTGCTTAGGGTTCATTGACAAGCTTGCCAATGCTGTAGTGCCTGATCCACCCAGGACGCGCGAGATGATTATGAAAGGTGAAGGACATCGATACGCTGGAAAGATCGTGTACATTGCCGACACCAACATCGTTGGTGAGTCCGACCTTTCCCAGGAGTTCTTCGTGTACTGGCGAAATCGTTTTCACCACCCAGAAGTGTTTGCAACCCTCTATGCAGACAGCTTCAAACGTCCACCCATCTGTGGCTTTGGTGGATTTACTTGCTTTCATGGCAGAGGACTTCGAGCGCATTCCTCGGACTAAGGCAGGATCATCAGCAGCCAAGAGCTTTGCTCAATGGCAGTCCCAACACAGTGCTCACCAATATGAGGCTCGTTGGGAGGACCGCGGACGCAGCTCACGAGACCAGCCTTCCTCATCCCAGAGCTGGTGGTCGAGTGGCTGGTGGCAGTCAGATGATCGCTCATGGCGTGATTCTGATTGGGGCCGCGGCGGTTGGGGAGATCATGACTGGTACCAGCGACTGTGCATTTTCCTAAGCGTCTTAACAGACTACACGTATATGCCGGCAAGCAATGGAACATTTTGAAGCAGATAGGGATTTGTGGCAAGGACACCATCCAACCAAATGGGGCACGCTAAACTCACTGAAGGGAGGGAAAATGAAAAGAAAAGCTTCCATTAACTGTGAAACGCAATTCTTTGAAGACACGCCTTAAAAGTTCTAGACTTAGACAGCTCAAATGCTGCACGGGTTATCGAAACGCCCATCGCACCTGGGAAGAACATTTTTTGTTCATACGGGGGGTCGTTGCGGGCGGGGTGACCAGGTTCGATAACAAGCAGACCGCCCACCAAAATGTGGCACACAAAATCCGCTGAGGGAAGGAAGGAGAGTGGAGAGAGAATCTGTCAAATTTTGAAGACAGGTCCACGTATGGGGTGAAAGGAACGAATCTATATAGCCTATATCTTACTTTGAGTATAGTATTGAAAAGTCTTTATGACCAGTCAGGTTTGAACGGCTCGGAACAATGATCTAGAACGAGCACATATTAGAATCATAGTGAGAGGCTTTGAAAAGGAAACAAAAACACCAGGCCATGTAGGTCCGAAAGCGCGCATCTCCAAAACATTTGCGTTTTGACTGAAGGTGAGAAGGTGGCACATGGCCCCCGCACAGCAGCTCTTTGCCAAATCAATGTCACACACTAGCCGTTGTATTTTCCCGCAGCCCGCTGTCACACACGCACCCATCTATTTTTGTAAGAAATTCTAGTTTTGCTTTTTTGTTTGCGCGAAAAAACAAGAAAACGATACTTTCTAAATGATTTTCGCCAGCATTTCAGCAAAAATTCTTGTTTTTGCCAATGGAATAACCATTTTCTGCAAGAAAACAAAGAAAACCTCAAAAAGTGCACCGGTCAAGCGCAAACCAAACCCGAGCCACTTCCGAGCCACACCCGAGCCACTTCCGAGCCACTTCCGAGCCACTTCCGAGCCACTTCCGAGCCACCCGAGCCACTTCCGAGCCATTTTCGATCCATTTCTGAGTTGTCAACGTTTAACTCGCACCAAAATAGATATTCTTTGGCTGCAGCGTGAAAAAGCTAGAAGTTTTGCAAATTTTGACAACAAAAAATGCGAATTTGATAGTTTTCATGTCAGTTAGGACTGGCTGCCTGCAAACCGGAAAATTTTGTCACTAGTTTAAGTTCCTGCCGCTGTTTGCAGACAGGCTTTGGTCTACAACGTTGAACGTTCCAACGTGGAATACACACCAATTCATCTTGCAATTTCTGTTGCGCCGTGGCCTTTAATCTTTCCCATGTAGATGTCCTCAAACCCGGGCGCTTCGCAAAAATCAAACAAAATGCGCGGGGTCAAAATTAAAAAACCCCGCGTGGAACATGCTATTTGTGAAGAAAACAAGGGCGCTAAAAACAACCTTACAAACCCAAAACCATCATCTTAATTTAGATGCACAAAATTGCACAAACGCCCGCAATGCCAACACTGGCTACCCAAACCCTTAGACTTTTTTCGGCCAGTTTCAACATTGAACATAAACACGCAACACGCGGCGCATTTATATATACTAGATCTGCGTTTTAGCGGAAACTGCACAGGATTCTGTACAGGCGGAAACCCACGTGTTTGTTGTTGATGTTGTTGTTTAAAGAAACAAACATTAAAACACATTATGTATCACACTTGTAATCATCGAATTTGGCACAGAACGCTGGCAAGATCCGAATCAGAGCATTTACTATTTAATCCTTCTCAACTTAATACATACAAAATTGCACAAACACCCGCAAAGCCAACACATTTCAAAATAACAAACGCCAGTCCAACAAGACCCTTAGGAAAATGTACACCAGCGACGAGGCTGGTGAAGTGTCTCCGCACGGAGGGAGCCGTTGCCTTGGACAAAGCCGAAAACCAAAGAAAATACCAACCGCGACACTGCTCCAATTCTTGCAGAGAGACCTCATCGCACCGCGGGAGCGGTTGCCTTTGTGTGACCGTTCATCCCGTACATCAGCTGACCAGCGCCTGGCGTTGCACTAATTAAAGATGACATTGGATAAAGTTCCTTTTCATCTATTGCTTAGCCATGTTTGTTCGCCACGCGGGAGCGTGAGCCATGTAAGGGTTCCACTCTTGCTTTCTCAAAGGTGAACATACATTTGGCTTTCCGCATAGCGCCCAAAAATAGAGCTTTAGCTTTTGCATGAAAGTTGAGACGCTTGACATGGAACACAAGTGAAACTAAAATACATTGTGCCTGACTCCATCGCCTCTGAGGTCTTGCTTCTTCGGCTTTATCTTGCAGGCGCGCCCCGTTCGATTCCTCGTACCGGGGAACCGGTTGCCCTTCGTAGCCGGTTGAATTCATGCACATTGTACATACTTCACTCCTCCGTATTTGCGCTCAGCGGGGGGTGTGGTTTCACGCTTGTGTAGTCTATTCATGTCTCACATACGACCTTGTTTGGCTCAAGGAAAACAGGTGCTACCTTTGCGGTAGAAGTAGGCTAATTACACACCCGCCGCGGCCCGCCAGATTTTGCGAGCCTACGCAGTCGAAATGCACTTCGAGGATTTCGAGAGGCATGCATGTACTGTAAATAGCAGCGAATTAGGCGCGCACGCCCGCGCAACACCTCCGACTAGACACCGGTGCTTAACTACTACCGGGTTACTACCGTGTGAAATCGTCACTGGTGGCGGTGTTTCCGTGCTGGATGTGGGCTGTGGATGTGAAAAGTTGTTTGTGGATCTGCTTCTGGTAGGGAGGGGCCTTCTGCCTTTTGCACGTCAATAAAGCGAGAGATTCAGCCATTCTGACAGGGGTGAGGCCCTTGCAGTATAAACACAACCCTGTATGAAATGGTTGAAAAGGATGCATAAGCGATGCATAAGCTGGATGCAACTCACAGCAAGTCTTCAGAGGTTGCAATCTCTCAATTGCCCTCACCTAACTGAATTTGCCGAGTCGTCATATAGTTACCTCCAGACGGATGACCTACAACCTGAGAAGCAACCTGTGGCGACAAGAACGCAAACTGTATTACGTCACCGATATTTTTCTAGAGCTGGTTTGAAAAGAGTGCATGGACGGTTTCACAGCAGTCTTCGCAGGCCCATTCCAGAAAACAAATTACTCGTTTGTTTCCAGAGGGTGATGCACACACGCACACACTCGGTGGGGAAATAGATTCATTATCCTGCGAGCTGTCGCCAATGGAAGCAACTCAGGTACACAGTTACGGGGCAGGAATGCAATCATCAAGTTTCTAACAGGGTTCCGGTTCAAAGGTTCCGATTCCAAATTCCAACGTTCAAGGCCTCGAGTTGAGTAAATGCACATCTGCAGACCTACCTCCACCTGGACTGGAACAGCCTTGGAAACTAGATTCGGTTGTGATTACGCAGCACAAAAGGAGTGTCAAAGCAGGTGCAAGTCTGTGCGCCCGCACGACGCTGAAGAAAGCCAAGCTCAGTGGAAAAACACAAAGAATTAACCACCAGTTGGTAAACAGTTTTCACTATTTTAGAGAAAACCCTTTACTAACCGTCATCATCCACCGTCATAAAGGTAATGGTATATACGTGATGGCTGGAACTCCTCCTTACAAAACCTGCAATCCATGACACGCTGACAACTCGGACTTGGGGTGCTTAGGCTATTCTTGCTTTGATGGCGTGGTTTCGGCTGAAGTTATGCTGGATCACATCAGCCATGAGTGCACGAATGCTTTGAGCAGCTGGCCCTGCAAGCTGGGCACGCACAAGCCACGTTGAGAACATACCGGCGCTTTGAGCACAGACCCCATCAAATAGTAGAGAGAGAGAGAGAGAAGCATGCTTTGTGGCATGACTGGATGATGAGACCTGGATGACGAAGTATTTGGTCAAACAGTGGACACAGGATTCTCGGGATTAGTGGCTGGGCACTTGAACCTAAGAACTGAGGCAAATTGCAGAGTTCCCTAGATGGAATGCCTATCAATGCTCTTTGCTTGCACTCACCCGAACGCATTGAACAATTATGTGCTGTAAATTTGTTCATGGTTCTGCCCCCTTTGGAGTTCCCAAAGGCCCACAGCACTGAATCTGTTGGGGTTGGGGCAGTGATGCTGAGAGAGGCAGAGCTTTGTTGGGCATGCAAGTACGAGACATTTTTGGTGCAAGTATCTTAAGACATAACGTGGGCTATCAGTGAATCAGCCACAGAGGTGTGGCTGTGGTGTTGTTACCGTACGGTCGTGTTCTACGACTTGATCATCAGCACCCGCCTCGCACACTGGTGTTTCGGGCTCTCTGGAACCTAGGCTGGAAATGCGTCGGTCTTCGTTGTGAACCACATCTCCAAGTATCCGGACCAGTGTCACGGCTTATGTCCAGCTACTTCAGATGCTGGGTTGGATAGATGTGAACTGGTGCATGGACATTTTTGAGGGATAGAATTTACAAAGAGCCACTTTAACAGTTGGCCAGTTTGGAATCATTTCCTTCACAGCGTCCCCCTTCCAAGCTCTGCGTCCGTGTCTCACATCACTTGTAGCTTACGCTTACACCTTGGAAGCTGGTGCTGCAGTTGTGGGCAAAGTTTCCGAGAACAGGATATTTCCATGGAGCTGCCCCACATTGTTCCGACAACCTCCAGTTCGTTCCTGAACATGGTGATATGTTGGAGCGAGGTTGGGCTTGCTGCTGGGTTCTGCGGAGTGGTCAGATTCAAGCCAGCAATACCTTCCTCGTAACGCCACTGATCTGGAGAAGCATGAGCCGGAGCAGGCAGTAATGTTGCCACTGATCTACATTCTGTGCCCCTGAGACTCGATTAACAGATTGCTCTAGCCGCACTGGAAGGAGGTTCTAAACCTAGCAGCTATAGCTACGACATACCGTAAATATCCATAAATTACTTAATGATTTTGCATATCACGGCCTCATGGCTTTTCCTGAAAGTGACAATCCTGAGCAGCGCCACCTTCCGCAGACAATGGTTGCAGCCGCTTCCCGCGCCATCCTGGCAAAGTTCCACAAATGGGATGCCAATCTGCTCACTATGCCGCAGGTGTTGCGCGGCTTTGGGAGTTGATGACTTCACATTAAGCTCAAGCCCCGACAGTTGCATACCGGTACTTGGCTTTATCCGCACTTTGTTAGGGACCACCCCTGCAATTGAAACTGAGGCTTAGTTTCCGCAAGAGCTATGCCCTGAAGGGCGAGCCTTTTTGCAGCATTTGGCGGGAAATGTTCGCCGCACAAGTGCTGCAAAGCCACAGCATTCAAATCCTAGCCGTTAGCCAAGTTGTAAATGACATGCTTGCATGCATTTGGGTTTCATCACCACACTTAAGTGAAGGGAAGGGCCGAATAAGTTGCAAATTACATGCTCGCATGCTGCTGCTGCTGCTGCTGCTGCATGCAAAGCTGCCGTGCAGGGTGTGGCTGAAACACTCCGGAGAAGGGAGAGGGAGAGGGGCAGGGGCAGGGGGGAGGTAGCGCAGGTAACAGTTGCCTAGTCGGTATGGCGTCATTCGCTTCACTAAATGACTGGGACTAGGGTAGGAAAAAGGTACCAAACGGGACGATTGGGTGAGAATTCGGCGCAAGTAGAGCCAAACGAAAAAGAGAGCGGTGGGCACAGAGGGCCTTGTGTGAACGCATAGTGCGAAGTTGGGAGCCTTCAGTCAAGAAGGAATGTGACCAGGAGCCGGAAAATGCTTTCAACTCTTGCCTTGCTTTTCTAAATAAATGAGGATATCTACTAAGGACATCTTCTAAATCTTACTGCAAAGTTTTGCCCAGCCAGCATGAAGTTTTGTCGAGAAATGGGCGATTCGTTCCCCCAGGTTGGTAGAGTGTGGATTCAACCGGATCAACATTGACGTCGCTGGTGGCAGCAGCTGGCCTTGTTAGAAAAGGGAACAGGGAACTTGCGAAGGCAACACGCACGATTTCGTACGATATACTGTACTTATTTTTCCCGAATGCGTAGCGAAGGGTTCTAGTTTAACTCTGGGGGTCTGGGGGTAGAGCCTTGTTCGCGACCCGTTGTTTCTACGTCCGCAACCGTCCGCAACCGTTCGCAACCGTTCGCGACCGTCCGCAACCGTTCGCAGTAGAGCGCTAAGGCGCTGCCATTGGCGGAAGCTTTTGGAGATTGTTTCGGATGGAAACGTGACGTGTCAGATTCGTGTGAAATAGCGAGGAATCGTGTGGAAATGTAAGATGTTGAAGTGTGGAGGATGCTTTCACTGCGCAGGCGCAGCGTTTTGTGAGATCCGCAGTTTGCTACGCAGTTCCATTGGGATTAGCGTTTGGATAGTCATGTCTTTGGGATTTGCGTTTCAGGGTGTTGCGTCGAAGCTCTGTTTTCGTGACAAGTCCCAGCTGAAATGTCGATTTTGGTGGATGGGAGTGTGCTCAGAACGGGTCGAAATCATTCCAAACGTGTGGTGTGGTGCAAGTTTTGTTGAAGCTCGCACGCGATGATATTGTCACTTTTCGTGGCAGGCGCAGTACTTTGTGCGGGTTTTGAGGTGCGATTTTCGCGGCAGGCACAGGGAATCGTGAGGTTGCGAGGTGTGACGGAGGTGACATATCGTGGTAGGCACAGTACTTTGCGCGCGTTAGACGTGTGGACGCGGAAAGATTCATGGCAGGCGCAGAGAATCGTGAGGTTGTGAGTTGTGGTAGATGTCACATTGGTGTTGTTTGGAGGGGCTGGAATCGCCAAACTGCTTGGCAGGGCTGCGTGATGTGTGTGCTCCGATGGGTGTTTCCGCTTGACTTTTGGAGGAAGTCTCGTACAAAACGCTCGTTTTGCAGACTTTGACGTGTGAGTTTTTGAGGAAGTCTCGTACGAAACGCTCGTTTTGGAGACTTGACGTGTGACTTTTTGAGGAAGTCTCGTACGAAACGCTAGTTTTGGAGACTTGACGTGTGACTTTTGGAGGAAGTCTCGTACGAAACGCTCGTCTTGCAGCCTCGAGGCGTGACTTTTGGAGGAAGTGTCGAACGAAGCGCTCGTTTTGGAGACTTGACGCGTGACTTTTGGAGGAAGTCTCGTACGAAACGCTCGTCTTCTAGTGTGTGGGCAGACCGTGTGGCGACACGACGTTCGTGATGTCGCAGTGCCATTGGGATTTGCGCAGCCTTGGTGGAAAGTGCGTTTGCGTGGCGCTGTGGAGCGCAAAACAGTGTGGCGTAAACGCGGCGTGTCGCTGGTGAGCGGGATGATTTGCGGTATTATGTGATATGTTTGCTTCAAGTGTGTGGGCAGACCGTGCGGCGACGCGACGTTCGTGATGTTGCAGTGCCATTGGGATTTGCGCGGCCTGGGTGGGAAGTGTGTTTGCGTGGCGCCGTGCCACCGGGGAGCGCGAAACAGGCTGGCGTAAACGCGGCGTGTCGCTGGTGAGCGGGATGATTTGTGGTATCATGTGACACGATTGCTTCTAGTGTCTGGGCAGACCGTGTGGCGACGCGACGTTCGTGATGTCGCAGTGCCATTGGGATTTGCGCGGCCTTGGTGGAAAGTGCGTTTGCGTGCGCCGTGCCACTGGGGAGCGCGGAACATGCTGGCGTAAACGCGGCGTGTCGCTGGTGAGCGGGATGATTTGTGGTATCAAGAGCGCCCCAAAAGAGTGCCCCGCAAGAGCTTCCTACAAGAGTGACCCACAAGAGTGTCCTACAAGAGTGTCGCAGTTAGAGTGTCCCACAAGAGTGTCCCACAAGAGTGCCCCACAAGAGTGTCCCGCAACCGTGTCCAGAAGAGTGTCTCACAAGAGTGTCCCGCAAGAGTGTCCTATAAGAGTGTCCCACAAGAGTGTCCTACAAGAGTGTCCCACAAGAGTTTCCTACAAGAGAGTCCCGCAAGATTGTCCCACAAGAGTGTCCCACAAGAGTGCCCTACAAGAGTGTCCCACAAGAGTGTCCTACAAGAGTGTCCCACAAGTGTGTCCTACAAGAGTATCCCGCAAGAGTTTCCTACAAGAGTGTCCCACAAGAGTGTCCCACAAGAGCGTCCCACAAGAGTGTCCTACAAGAGTGTCCCGTTTGAGTGTCCCACAAGAGTGTCCCACAAAAGTGTCCCACAAGAGTGTCCCGCAACAGTGTCCCACAAGAGTGTCTCACAAGAGTGTCCCTTAAGAGTGTCCTACAAGAGTATCCCACAAGAGTTTCCTACAAGAGTGTCCCACAAGAGTGTCCCACAAGAGTGCCCTACAAGAGTGTCCTGTGAGAGTGGGGGAGTGAGTGAGAGTCGGAGGGTGAGGGAGTGCGAGTGTGAGCACGAAATCTGCACTTTGAGGTTCACCAAGTGCTGTGCCTGCCACGAAATCTGCACTTCGAGGATCACCATGCGCTGTGCCGTCACAGGAGGTTCTGCTGCACCTGCCACGAAATCTGCGCATCGAGGGTCACAGAATCCTTGCCTGCCACGAAATCTGCGCTTCGAGGTTCACCAAGTGCCGCGCCTGCCACCAAATCTGTACCTCGAGGTGCGCCAAGTGCTGCGCCTACCACGAAATCTGCACATCGAAATTCACACATTGCTGCGCCTGCCACGAAATCTGTACCTCGAGGTTCACCATGCTGCACCTCCCACGAAATCTGGCAATGTTCTTTGCATCATGGAAGTTGCAGAATTTCGTGGCATTGAGAGGGTGACAGTTGCAGCACTTTGGAAATCCGCAGAAATCGTAGCAGGCTCGTAGCAGCACTTTGGAAACACCATGATCTGACCAGGATTAAAAAAATATCCTTTAACAAGAACCCAGCAAAGTGCTGTGCCTGCCACGAACTCTGCGCATCGAGGGTCACAGAGTGCTGCGCCTGTCATGAAATCTGCGCTTCAAGGTTCACCAAGCGCTGCGCCTGTCACGAAATCTGCGCTTCGAGGTTCACAAAGTGCTGCACCTGCCACGAAATCTGCACGTCGCGGGTCACAGAGTGCTGTGCCTGCCACGAACTCTGCACTTCGAGGTGCTGCGCCTGCCACGAGTGCTGTGCCTGTCACGAAGTCTGCGCTTCGAGGTTCACCAAGTGCTGCGCCTGTCACGAAATCTGCGCTTCGAGGGTCACAAAGTACTGCACCCTGCCACGAAATCTGCACTTCGAGGTTGACGAAGTGCTGCGCCTGCCACGACATCTGCGCATCGAGGGTCACAGAGTGCTGTGCCTGCCACGAAATCTGCAAACGAGCCGCGTGTCCAAAAGTCACGATTCACTGCACCTGTCACGAAATCTGAGCTCCTCGACGATCACCACCATGTCTTAAAAGTGCTGCGCCTGCTCCGAAAAATTGCATTTCGAAGTAAAACGCCTCCGATCCTGTCACGAAAAGTCGACTTTGGAGCACCAAAACATGAGCCTTCCCTTGCGCCTGCCACGAAAGGTCACCACCATGTGCGAAAATGCGCACGGCGCCGCAACGAGAGCGCAGTCACGACAAGCGCGCGCTCCAGCCACCCAGATTCTGCGAGCCTGCGCAGTCGAAGTGCACATGGACGATGTCGAGAGGCATGAATGTACTGTAAATAGCAACGAATTAGCCGTTCACGGCCGCACGCTTCAGCGATCTAAGCATCAGCTTCCTTTCACCTACCGTAAGAACCCCTCAGTGTGCCCACGCTGTTTGTGGAAAAAGAAAAAATACTAGACGACGAGTGGCCCGAAAGCATTTTTCATCACGTGTGAAGTCAGAGTGTGAGTTATGTGTTAAGTGTTCAGTGTGAAGTGTTAAGTCGAGTGTGTTGAGGCAGTGTGTGGGTCTCTGTGTGTGTGTATCTATGTCTGTGTATCTATATCGTCTATTTGGCACAGCTTGTGGTGAGGGAGCACGTCCAGGAGGGACAGCTCCAGGCCTGACGTAACCTGAGCCAGTGTCACCTGAGAGTGAGAGTGCGTTGGCCCCAAGGACAGAAAGCTGTAACTCCCTCACCGGCGCGGCCGAGCGGTGACAGCTCCGCTCAATTTCGCGAGCGTTCGAGCTGCTCAGAAGGGTAAATGGTGAAATTCTTCACTCTAGATACAGTGAACGAAGTAGCGCGCAGGCCTCCCAAACCCCCGACCGGCGGCCAAGCGGTGACAGCTCAGCTCATCTTCGTGAGCTTTGAGCTGCTGGTAAGGGCAAATGGTGAAGTTCTTCACTCTAGATTCTAGATAAGTAGCGCGCAGGCCTCCCAAACCCCCACCGGCGGCCAAGCGGTGACAGCTCAGCTCATCTTCGTGAGCGCTTGAGCTGCTGGTAAAGGGAAATAGTAAGGCACATAGCTCTTCTCTCTGGGAGCACATTGCTCTGAGATGATACGGCAGCACAGCTCCCCAGATACTCCGCGTACTGGACTTGTACTACCAGGTCGCCAGTTCTCATCTTCCAGCTCCCCACCTACTCCGCGTACTAGAGGGTTGCGCGCGCAGGGGACAAATCATAATCTTGCCTGCGTTTCGAGCACTCGACATGCACGATCTCCGTAGAGGGTCGCGCGCGCCAGGTCTCAGCCTCCAGCTCCTCGGCTTCCTCCGCCTACAGTTGTACTACAAAGTCGCCAGTTCTCATCTTCCAGCTCCCCAGATACTCCGCGTACTAGAGTGGTACTACCAAGTGGCCAGTTCTCATCTTCCAGCTCCCCAGCTACTCCGCGTACTACAGTTGTACTACAAAGTCGCCAGTTCTCATCTTCAAGCTCCCCAGATACTCCGTTGTACTACAAAGTCGCCAGTTCTCATCTTCAAGCTCCCTAGATACTCCGCGTACTAAAGTTGTACTACCGAGTCCCCAGTTCTCATCTTCCAGCTCCCCAGATACTCCGCGTACTAAAGTTGTATTACCAAGTCCCCAGTTCTCATCTTCCACTTCCCCAGATACTCCGCGTACTAAAGTTTTACTAAAGAGGGTTGCGCGGGTGCCGGAGCCATCGCACTCTCGCCTGCATTTTGCGCACTCGACACGCGCGCTCTCCGCAGAGGGTTTCGCGGGTACCGGACAAATCGCACTCTCGCCGCTCTCGCCTTCATTTCGCGCACTCGACGCGCGCGATCTCCGCAGAGGGTTGCCCGCGCGCAGGACAAATCGCGCTCTCGCCTGCGTTTCGCGCACTCGACACGCGCGATCTCCACAGAGGGTTGCCCGCATCCAGGACAAATCGCGCTCTCGCCTGCATCTCGCGCGCTCGACACGCACGATCTCCGCAGAGGGTTGCCTCCAGGACATATCGCGCTCTCGCCTGCGTTTCGCGCACTCGACGCGCACGATCTCCGCAGAGGCTTGCCCGCGTGCAGGACAAATCGCACTCTCGCTTGCATTTCGCTCACTCGACGCGCGCGATCTTCGGTTGACGCTGTTCGTCCCACCCTCCGCCTTGAAAGAGAATTTATAAAGTGGGTTTTTCATTAGGATATCTCGGGTGAAAGTGTTCATACTCACACTTGCATACTTACACTGGGATACTTA